TCTCATTCTCATAAGCAGACTAGGGGAAACTTGGTCTAGAGGAAGCTACTGAAGGATAAATGCCAAATGGGCCAGCAAACCGTTGCTTAAGAGCAAATATCAGTTGCCTATCACTGACGTGAGGGGATTTATTAACTGGATTTCCACAGGGGTCCATCCTAGGTCTGATCTTTTCACGTATTGTCATTAACCACACAGGCAGTAGAACAAGAATATGTTTTTAAGTTTGCAGATGATGTGGAGCTGGGAGGCACGATCCAAATTCGGAAATGATCTGGGAAACTTGGGAAAGCAATCGGAAAAACCCACAAATCCTCAAATGCAAATGGCCAGGATGTTGGAAAAAATCCTGAAGGTACCAAGGACTCGCCAGCAGCACAGACCTGCGGGGCTCTGCTCCAGCAGCGGGAAAGGCTGGGGGCAGCCAGGGACAACGTGCTGCTGGGGACAGCAAACGCCCCAACCCAGCAAGTCATGGGGGTTTAACTGCACCCCTCGGCACTCAAATCCTGAAGAGCCTCTGCTAAGGGATGCTGGAGGAAGGAAAGGATTCGGGGCTGCAGCTGGCCCTGAGATGCCACAGCTGCAACTGGATGCTGGGACCATTCCAGGCACTAGGATTAATTAGGGGTCTCCGGGTCCCAGCACATGAAATAATGATGAGGTTTAAAAATCTGCTTTAAAATGTCACTGTCACCTTCACAAAGTGCCAGGCTTGTTCTAGGAACAGTATTTCAATGCTGCGAGCCTGTTCCTCCTGCAAGGTGCAGTGCAGGGCCCCGAGCATCCATGGGACAGGATGAGACCCAGCACCATGGGGATGCTCTGCAGCCCCCTCCCATCGGCCAGGGCTGACGGGAACTCAGAGCGGGCAGCAGTGACTTTGCACCCATGCTCACGCAGCATGGATGGGAATGCATCTCCCACGCAATCATCAAACGCAGCCAAGCCTTTGCTGAAGGTATTTCTCGAGGAGTTCTCAGCAAACCCAAATCCCTCGCCTCGCTCCGCAGGGTATCGCACAGATCCCACTGCAAATTCCAGCCCCACCGCCTTCACCCCCAGGATGATCTGTGAGAAAACACTCTCGGCCCAGTAATGCCTTAATTTGCTCGGCTGCCCGGCATGCGTGAAAAGCCAGCTCCCTCTGCCGGCTTCACTTCTTAAATAAATTAACTTTTGCCTCCGGAGGATCACGGCATAACGAGAGCCCTTGCACCCGCTAATCCAATAAGCTTAACGGCTCTCCTACCGCATACGGGGACGCAAAGGATAAAGTCAAACAACTGCCCCGACCAGCTAGCGGAGCCGAAGTCTCCGCCGTGGTCCTGCCTCCAGCTCCTCCGGGCAATGCTGCCCCAAGCCCAACCAAACCAAGATGTCTGGGTTTTCCTTTGCTTCTCCACACCAGCCACCTCCAAGTCCACCAAAACATCCTTAACATCTGCTGATGGTTGACACGGAGAGGTGGGAAGGCAGAGAAACTGCTCCTCCTGGTGCACACCAGCAACGGACCACGTGTCCGGGGCACAGCACGGAAGCGGCTGCGACAGGGGTGCGATGGACCTCTCCTGCAAGCAGAAGCCGCTGTCTTAAAATCCCTCCGGTGTGCAGGGAGAGCCTGGGCTCAGCACCCATGCCGCACAGCTTTGCCTGTGGACCTCTGCTAATTCCTATGGGGACCTGGGTCAGACCCAAAGTCCCTCTGCCCTGCAGCGGGATGCAGCAGGAGCACCCGACCCCATACTCCCAAGGAGGAGAGGACGCAGGGAAGCTGGCTTGCTGCTGGGACTCCAGCCAAGCCTATGTGCATTCATGCTGATCGTCAGCAGATCTCATGGGTGACATTCTTCATGGTAATGCTTTCATCTCAGAGATCCAGTGATGCTTCCCCTGTGCTGGCGACGCCTCACAACGCCACAAAGAGCTTGAGGTTTCCAACCCGTTCCTGATGCACATGCAGCTGCAGAAGACAGCGGTCTCTTAGCCTCGTCCTCAAAACCCCAACCCACACGAAGCAATGCAACCCGCACAGCGAAAGGGGCTGAACCAAGCCATTACCTCCCGCGGTGAACATCTGGGAGGCAAGAACCCTGAGCACAAGCACGGTGGTAGTCAGGGGAAAAAATATGAGGCAAACCTACGTGATGCCTCAGACATTTGCTCAATGGGAAAAATCCATTTTTAAAAAGTGGAAAATAGGGATCAAAAAAAGAAATGAAGCAGAGAGGCCCTCGGCTGTCTCAGACACCCCAAATTCAGGCCATAGCTTCGCTGCTCCAAGACGCCCCTTGCAACGCCAGCTCAGCAAAGCAGTTAAGCCTATGCTCAACTGCCAGCTCCTTCCCAGAGCCCAGAGACTTCAGGGGAATTTAAGGACTTTACTTTAAAAACAGCATGCACTTCACTAAATCTGGGTGTAAATAAACGCCTAATAGGCAATCTAATAAGAGACAGCATAAGCACAGGCAGGGGAACGGCACCCATTCAGGATATATTGCAGAACATATTCTGTTTTATAGCATGGATTTGAATAGTTAAGCAGGTTTAAGATCTGCCAGAAAAACTTTTTTTTTTTTCTTTTTTTCTTTTTTTCCATAGAAATGTGTTAAACGTGAGCTCAGCCCCAGATGATTTGGTCTTGCTGTGGGCCGGAGGTGCTGGCTGACCTTGAGCGGGGCACAGGGTCAGTGTCGCGGCTCCCATGGTAGGACACGTGCCAAATACTTTTGGTATCGTTTGGTGCTAAATATGTTTGCAATCACAGTACAACCCTACTCTGGCAGACGGCTCTACACCTCTTAGGAAAACGAGCCGTTGCGAATACTCGATGGGAAGCTTTGATGGCTCAGGACCCAACTTCCCAGCCACTTGACCCTGCCACGTGAGGATCCTCCCCAGCATCTATTTATACGGTCATGTCTGAAGTGTCGAAGATGCACTTTGAGTCATCTCTGTGAAAGGAAAAGCATTTTTAGCTCTGAAAAATGTACATGTGCTCTGCCTCGTGGCACGCACAGCCCCCTGCCACAAGCACCACGGCACTGACTCCTCCGAGCGCCTTGGCTGCAGGGATGCTTTCACTACAGAGACGTGGAAACCTCAGACCAACTGCAGATTATTATTTTTTTTCCCAAGAGGAGAGAAATATCCAACTAGCAACTCGCTCGCAGCAGCAAAGCTGGACTTAAACACCTGCACTTCCAAGGGGGAAGAGGTGCTGCGGCCAGGATGAGCCCCAAGCTCACCGCTGCACGGGGGGCCCACGGGAAGCCTTGGTGCCATCCCAGTTCAGCTCAAAACGGGTGAGGGAGGTCTAAGAGACCTGGATTTTAAAGCCAAGAGGTGTTATCCTGCCCAGCCTCCTTGGCTTCTTCACTCCCACGCCTTGGAGCAGCTCGGCCGGGCTCTCGGCCGGATCCAGACCCCCATCGCTGCCAAGCTGCCCCAGCACCATACTGTACCTTCACAATTTCTTGCGCTATCTGCCTCGTCTTGTTGACATCCAGGACAATTTTGGCATCTCTCACCACCGAGTAGAGAGTCCGTCCTTTACACAGGCTGAAAGAACAGGAAAGGCGAGAAGATAAAAACACGGTTTATAAACCCCCGCCGAGAAACATCCCCAAATTATAAATGCAGCGGCTGTGGCAGGGAACTATAAATAACCACAAGAGTTTTGGCTACGTCTCAAGGCAGATTGAAGATTCAGCGAGGAAACTGGGGGCTCTCCCCAGTTTGGCACTGGGAGGGAGCTCACGCTGCTCCCCGGTGGGTGCTGGTGCCATCACCGTGGCGCCGAGCCCCCTAAGGGGTAACCTGGGCTGGTTCCCTGCTCTTCCCCGCATCCCAGCCACGAGCAAACCACCTGGCCCTCTTGCTTCAGACTTTTTGTGCAAAACTGGCCACGGGTCCCCGCCTCTTCCCTCGGAGGATACAATACTCACAGATGTAATGAGTCAAAAGAGGAAAGACAGGGAGGAAAAAAACAAAAAACGCCAATGCACTGTACAATGTCCTCCAATTTTCCTTCTCGTACCAATTACAGTAAAATCTATTTACAGAGCCTTAATTACCAAAGGCAGCTGGAGGGGGAGGGGGAGATATAAACCAATTAAAAATATATTGACATTTGAATATCATAATGGAGTACGTGGGTGGATGCTGCCTCGACTCCCTCCCACAAAAAAGGGCTTTTTTGCTTTTCTCTATCCACCCACGCTCATTACAGGCAACTTTAGAAAGATGAGACTGGATACCTGTGCCCGGGAAATAAAGCGCCCAACACACATCTCGTTAAAGAGGCTTCGGCAACCACAGACGTTAATTTGATCCTGTTCTAGTTAACAAATAAAAAGTTACAGGTTTTAATTCCTCTGCTCTCCCACCGCTGCATCCTCGCTCGGCTCCACTGCTTTCCCCTCGCCCCTCTCCTCCAGCCCCGGGGATGCCAGCACAGACCGGTCTGGATTTGTCCCCTGGGAGATAACAGGCTTTGCCCTTTTTGGATGGAAATAACCAGCCCGAGCTGTGCCTCGTTACAAGGGCTGAGGAGCATCACACAGAGCAGCCCTGGGTTCGCCTGGGTACCATGTTGCTCAGATGGGGAGAGAGGGGATGGTTCAGACCCCCGGCTTGGGCGAGGAAGAAGAGGCACAACAAGGGCAGCGGTGCTCAGCACAGCCATGTGGAGGGGCGAGCAGCCCAGCCCCACAGTGACTCCCCCCGGGCTGCAAATCCAGAGAAATCAGGAACTCAACATCGCAGTAAAGCCCCGCTTTTATTTTTTACCCCGAGGCTGGCTCAGGGCAGCACGATGAGGCAAAACCTCCAGGAGGCTGCGCCGTGTTTTCCTTGTGGACATCGAAAACAGTAACGGCAATCCCCCCAAACCGCAGGGCGGTCGCCATTCCATCACTACCACACGTCCCCTGGGCAAGGCCATCACCTGGGTGCACATAAGGTCCCCGCAAGCGATTCAAATGTGATCCAGAAAGCAGGGGAAGCTGAGATCTTGGCAGCTCTTTGGGGGATTAAACTGATTGGGATTGGGATAGCACTTATTGGGAATAAACCTTGCTTGCTTCTTCAGAAGCCCACGGATACGAAGGACCCTCCTGCTCCTAAGCCAAAAGCTCCATGTCCTTCCATGGGCAGAGAGCACAGTTTTCAGGTCAAGCAGGAACGGGACCAATCCCATATCTCATGGCTTTTGGAAAGACAACAGCACCCTTCAGAGCACTTTCTTGCAGGTTGTGTTGGAAATAGCCTTGCTGGATGCAAGCAAGCCACGGCAGGGAGTTTAGGGCATCTTCATACCCATGCAACTGCCTCCTCGGTAATGCTTTTCCTTGCTCAGGTGTCTCAGCACGTCCCTGGGCACACCAGCTGGACTGCAAACCCCAGGCGCACGCAATTACAAACACCATCTTCCTCTAACTAAACCAGCCGCTCCCTATCTTCTGCAATAGTTTGGCTGCAGTCATGGAGAAATATGAATTTGCCTGAAGATTAGGATCCAAGCGCTCCGACCGCTACTTGGAAATAAGTGATAAAGAGAACCCTTGGGTTTCTGCGGCTGGTATTAAAGGGTGCAAAACAACGACGGACCACCTTTCCAGTATGAAGGTTTTTTGCACTAATTTGCTAAATAACCCTGTAAAGCTTTAAGCTCCGCGATGCAACAGGCTTTCTGCCACCTCCCATGACCCGCCTGCACATGACGGAGTTCCCCCAGTCCTCCCCGCTCCCCAGCAAACGCCTGTTTTCCCCCCAGAGAAAACCATTCCAGAAAGCCGCTTGTGGTCTGCATTAGTCATGAATCCACATTGCAAATGCAATGAATAGATTAGCGCTGGAACGGGGTTTGATTTCAGCCCTAAAGTGAGTTAAGATCAGCTGTTTTCCTGGAAAAGGGTTCTTTAGAGAAAAACCCTCAAATTTCTGCCTATCTGAACTGCAGAGATAACCCCAGGAGCGGAGCCCGCGGCCCCTTTTCTGGCGAGATGCCCATCTCTCCATTTCATTTACAGAGGGACCGCATTAAAGGAGGCAGCGGATGCACCCGGCGCGAGCCCCGGCACAGAGAGAGCACCTGCTGCTCAGACCCTGGGCGGTGGTACCAGCATACGGTGAAGCACCGCGGGCATGGGACGTGCCACCACCACTCCTCAGACCCGGGGAGAGCCAGCGAGGCAGCCCAGGTGCCTCTCTCCTCCCCTCGATGAATAACTCCTCCGAATGAATTCAACTAGCGACTGCCACACCGGTATTTGTTAGAGTTTTCTTGCTGGATAAGGAGCTGCCAATGCAGAGATAAAGCCTGGTTGATACCTATTATGCAGCACCTGAGCCCATTCAGCCACCACCTGCAGAACCTTTTCATGGCAGAGCTCAACAATTTCGCTTCTTCTCGTTCCTCGTCTGCCGTCAATCGTTCCCCATTCGGGCAGGAGCGGCAGGCACAAAGCGCGGCTCCCGGGGCA